CCCCAGGCTCAGCACCCCCGACTTAGCACCCCCCGGCTCCGCAGGCTCAGGCTCAGCACCCCCAGACCCGGCACCCGCAGGCTCAGCACCACAAGCAGCACCACAGTCAACAGCTACCTCGACAGGCTCTACCGAGTCTACCTGGGACACACCTGAGGGAGCAGGACCTTGGGGGGGGGAGGTGGTCTACCGGGGGGGGACCTGGCGCGAGGAAGAGCGGCGGGGGGGGAAGGAGAGCAGTGCGGTAGGGGAAGAGACGGTAGTAGGGAACCGACTCGTCAAACGTGACGTCCTGGGAGGACAGAACACGGCGCGAGGTGGGGTGGTAAAACTGCCAACCAGGCGCGTCAGGGGGGAAGCCAAGGAAGACGCAAGGAACAGCACGGGAGGACAGCTTGTCCGCAGACAAGTCGCGGACGAAAGCTCAAGATCCCCAGACACGGAACGCAGACGCATCGCCAACCTTCCCCGCCCACCGCAGAGCAGGGGAGGTCTCCGGCATGGAGACCCGGGCCTGAAGTTTGATCCGATGCGCCACGTACTGAACCACGAACGGCCACAGAAAATGGGGAGCAGCCGCATGGATCATGGACGTACGAGCGACGTCCATGACCATGCCAATGCGGCGCTCAGCAATCCCATTTTGCTGTGGAGAGGCCAGAAGCGTGAACGTCTGGCGGATGCCCTCTGCACGACAGAAGGCTCGCAGAAGGTCGGAGGAAAACTCTCCACCTCTGTTGGAGTGCAGACGCAGAACAGGAAAGTCCGAGCCGGAACTCTCTCTGAGCTGGAGACGAGCAGCGCGGATCCAATCGATCAACACCTCGGTGACCTCACCCTTGCTGCGCAAGGGGAAGACTGTAGTGTAACGCGAGTAGTCGTCAACCACTAGCAGGAAGTAACGCTCATGACCCTGTCCACGGACGCGGGCGGGGCCCCACACGTCCATGTGGAGAGTCTGCAGCGGAGCCTCTGTCGGAGGAAACTCGGAGGAGTGAGGAGCGGCGCGCTGCCGTCCCTCGACGCAGGGAACGCAGGTAGGGGCAGGCCCCGGAGGAAGGGGAGGGAGGGACCTGGGGAGACCAGAGACAAGGACACGGGAGGCCATGCCTCGGAGACGAGGCAGGGAGGGGTGACCAAGGCGGTGGTGCCAGAGGAGAGTCTGATGAGATTGGAGACGACACGAGCAGGGGGCAGACTCAGGACCAGACCGAGACGCTGCAGCAGACACCTGACCCGATGCAGCAACCTCACCAGACGCAGCAACCAAAGGAGACTCGGTCCTCAGTGTGTACAGGATCGGCCCCGGCTGACGGGTAAACGTGGCCAAGTGTCGGCCCGTCCGAGCACACGTACAGTGGGTCACTCGCTGACTCGCAGGAGTGAACTGGTCAACCCCTCCATCCTACAGGTCAGCACCACTCACCAAGTTTGTAGAGAACGAGGGGAGGTATAGACCTGACAGGGAGCCAGACGGGGTCGCCGGACACGGTAGGACAGTGGAATAGTGAGCAAGGACAGGACCCCCAGAGGGGTCTGCCAGGGAGACTGCAACCGGCCGACTAAGCGGCGTGAGGGTGGTGCGGTCTCGAAAGAAGGAGCGGGAAGCACCCGAGTCAAGGGTGCAAGACCGCAGCAGGCGCAGCACCAGAGAGAGCAGACTCACCAGCACCTGGAGCAGGAGACTCACTAGCACCTAGAGCAGCAGCCTCACCGACACCTGGAGCAGGAGACGCACGAGCGCCTAGAGCAGCAGCCTCACCAGCTTCTAGAGCAGTAGACTGGATACCGGGGCCAGGCGGCACACACAGGTGACAGGCACCCTCGGCACTAGTAGACAATGCATACATTGCAGTGAGAAGAGCATCATAGTCAAGAGCAAAGATATCTACCCTCTGCCTAAGTAGATCCAGCCAGGAAGGGAGCTCAGCGTCGTCGCCAAACTCTGTACGCCAAGCGTCGCTCAGACGGGCGAAGCAGCGGGACTCTGTGTGACCAGGAGTCCCGCAAGGCTGACCAGTCCGGACACCCGTGCGAATGACGTACGAGCAGCGAGCACTACTCACTGACCCTCTACTCTGAGCGTACCACTCGCGAATCTGCTGGGGCGAAAGGCTCTCGCGCGGACGACGCTGCAGCTGCACCTGGCCGCTACAAGAAGCTCCCGAACTACTCACTCCAGGACGACTCCCACTACGGCCACCCTGACAACCCCAACTAGCGTACCACTCACGAAGCTACTGGGGCGGGAGGGACTCACGCGAACGTCGCTGGAGCTGCAGCTGGCCACTGCCAGGAGTAGCAGTAGCAGTAGTAGCCGCAGTAGCAGCGGTAGCAGTAGTAGCAGTAGTAGCAGCGCGGCCACCCCTACAACCCCAACTAGCGTACCACTCACGAAGCTGTTGGGGCGTGAGGGACTCGCGCGGATGGCGCTGGAGCTGCATCTGGCCACGCCCGGAGCAGCAGTAGCAGTAGAAAGAGTAGTAGCAGCAGGAGCAGCACTAACAACAGTACGGGCATGGCAGTGCTCACCAGTGGCGAGAAGGGCAGGCGTACGACGTCGGCAACGGTGAGGCCACTACCACTGCAAGGCAAGGGCTCCGCGGCACCTACAGGGGCGGCTGCTCCAGGGGCCAGGGGCGGCTGCTACAGGGGCGGCTGCTCCAGGGGCCAGGGGCGGCTGCTGAAGGGGCGGCTGCTCTAGTGGCCAGGGGCGGCTGCTGCAGGTGCGGCTGCTCCAGGGGCCAGGGGCGGCTGCTGCAGGGGCGGCTGCTCTAGTGGCCAGGGGCGGCTGCTGCAGGTGCGGCTGCTCCAGGGGCCAGGGGCGGCTGCTGCAGGGGCGGCTGCTCCAGGGGCCAGGGGCGGCTTGCTGCAGGGGCAGCTGCTGCAAGGGGCGGGGGCAGGGGCGGCCGTCCGAAGGTCGGGTGCGGGTTAGGGCAGGGCGCTGCGGCGGGCAGGGGCGATGCCGCGCGGGTCCCGCAGGGGCGTCGCGACGAGCGGGAGCGACGCCCGGGTCCCGTTGGGGCGTCGGGACGCGCAGGAGCCGCGCCTCGCGGGTCCTGAAGGGGCGTCGCGACGAGGCAGGGGCGACGCGCGGGTCCCGCTGAGTCGTCGCGACGAGGCAGGGGCGACACCCGGGCGGCGACGGGGCGGGGCCGCGACTGGCGACGGGGCGGGGCTGCTACTTGCAACGGGGCGGGGCCGCGAAGGGGCCGCGAAGGGGCCGCTAAGGGGCTGTGAAGGGGCCACGAAGGGGCCTAGAAGGGGCCGCTAAGGGACCGCGAAGGGGCCGCTACGGGGCCGCGAAGGGGCCGCGAAGGGGCCGGGAAGGGGCCGGGAAGGGGCCGCTAAGGGACCGCGAAGGGGCCGCTACGGGGCCGCGAAGGGGGGGCCGCTACGGGGCCGCGAAGGGGGGGCCGCTAAGGGGCTGCGAAGGGGCCGCGAAGGGGCAGCAAAGGGGCCGCAAAGGGGCCGCTAAGGGGTCACGAAGGGGGCCGCTAAGGGGCCGCGAAGGGGCCGCTAAGGGGCCGCGAAGGGGCCGCAAGTCAGAGCGCGAAGCGCACTTCGGGCAGGGTAGGAAAAAAAAATAGATGGTGGGCCCTTAGGAAGAAACGGTCCCACTAGGGAACCTGCTCCATACCATGAGAAGAAAGAGGAATGACTGAACTAGCAAGGAGATGGGTACAAGTAGGGAAACCTAGCAGTGTTGTACCCCATATGGTCTACCCCACTACAGCCTACACAGACTATGTCATGTATGTTTGACACTCTTTTGAGTTTCATAAGAGCCGCATTTGAAACTTCGTCAGAGCCTAATTTAAGCGCATCATGTGAGCCTCACTTGAACGCTTCATGGAAACAGTGAAAACAAAGCTGAAAATACACAAGCACAAAATGCAAGTACGAATGGAAACGAAACTCACAAAATGCAAAAACAAATGCGCAGAGAACATCACAAAATGGAAATATAAACACCCACACACACACACACACACACACACACACACACACACAAAATGCAAAATGCGATGCATGCGGCTGGTTGACGGTAGAAAAAAAAATTGCACCCAACAACTACCGTCACCCCCCGGATATAAGCGCCACCCTAGGATAAGCGCCTGGCGCTTCTAATTGGCATATGGCGCTTATATCCCCTCCTCGATTATAAGCGCATACCCTAGAGTCGTACGGATTATAGCCGCATACCTGTACCTTACACATTATAACCGCCACTTTTTTAAATATTTTTTTTTCTACAAACTTCACTAACCACATTAACAACTTATATTTTCATCTAATTAACTACAAAGTCAGTTTATATACAGTTTTTTCTAATTACAGTTCTAAATCTACCTACGAGTCTCACAGGCTACAGCAATTTCTAGATCTACGTAATCTAGTCATCAGCTGCGGTAGGATCATCCGGGTCGGCCTCAGAGTCCGACTCTGGTTCTTCTACGTTGTTGCAGAAAAAGCCATCTGCTGCAATGTCGTCGTCGATGTCTATTTCGTCGCCCTCAAGCTCGTCGCGCCTGTGTTGCAGGCAGATCTTGTCCTGGGACCCATCCAGGGCGTTACTAATGCCACAGGTGAGGAAAGCCCGTTGAATCAAGTCCCTGGGCACGGCCTTCCAATGTCAGAATGAGAAACGAGAATGAGGAGTGACTAGCAGGAACAACAGTACAAATATGTCAAACCCTAATCTGGTGTACCCCTTATGGTGTGACCCACTACAGCCTAGAACCACACAAACATATAAATGTTTGACACACCCCCATAGGCAAAGTGGGGGAGACCTAGGGGTCACAAGACCAGTCAAGGCAAAACAAGGCAAACAAGCTCAGGGTGGATCTCGAGGATTCCACACAAATTCCGAGCACAAGCAAGCGGTCACAAGATCAGTTCACATGCAGTTTTATAATAGAGCAAGAGGTACAATGATCACAACCTAACGAGGCAAACATGCAGGTATATATATAATGATCACAGTACAGGTAAAGTCAAGAAGTAAGTAAGTGAGAAACAGTCGGCACAAGGCCTAGAAGAGTGCAAAAACGCTGATGGTCAACAGGCGGAAGCGCCTTGGTGAACACATCAGCAGTGTTGGCCTCAGTGGCCACGTAACGCAGAAGAAGCTGACCACGCTGCTGTAGCTCTCGAGCTAGAAAGTAACGCAGAGCAATGTGCTTCGTCCTGTGCTCCAGTCTGTGCTCCTGGCACAAGGCAATGGTTGCCTTGTTGTCGACGTACAGCACTGGAGGAGAACGAGGCTGCTCTCCAAGGTCAGTCAGCAGGTAGGTGAGCCAGCGAAGCTCCTGGGCAGCCATGGCCGTGGCGTAGATCTCAGCCTCACAGCTGGAGCTGAGAACAGAAGAAGAACGAGTAGAACGCCAAGAGACAGAGCCAGAGCCAAGACTGAAGGTGTAACCCTGAGACGACCGCTGAGTAGCCTGGTCGTCTGCCCAAGAAGCGTCTGAGTGCCCAGTGAGAACAGGCCGGTCTCGCCCTCCAAGCACTAGCCCCATGCCCGACGTACTGCACAAGTAGCGCAACACCCTCTTAGCTGCATCCATGTGCTCCTTCCGGTGACGGCCGGGAGCAACATAGCGTGCTAAGATGCTGAGAGGGTATGCTAGGTCAGGTCGAGTGCAGGTCATCAGGTACATGAGGCAGCCCACAAGCTCTGGATACGGACCACTCGACTCTACGGACTCATCCGAAGGCAGAGCTGAGAGCGAGTGACCCGTAGGCAGAGGAGTGGACTGAGGCGAGGAGTACGTGAAGCCGAAGCGCTGAAGGACCTGCTGCACCATGTGTGACTGAGTCAGGGTAATGGTGCGGCGTGCTCTGTCCCGGGTGATCCGCAAGCCAAGATAGCTTGTCAGTTCACCCAGGTCTGTGCACGTGTGTCTCTTCACGTGGGCGAGTGCGGCAGTGTCCGCAGTGGCAAAGACCAAGTCGTCGACGTACACGAGGATGTAGAACGGCGGCAGCGAGGTGTCGGTGCGCAGAAACAGCGACGGGTCAGCAGTAGAAGGAGCAAACCCAAGAGCCGCAAGTGTAGTCCTCAGTGTGTCGTGCCACTCACGCGGCGCCTGGCGGAGACCGTAGACTGGCCGCCGGAGGCTCCACTGGGTGCCACGAGGGAACGACCCAGTGAAGCCAGGTGGGCGGCGCAGCCAGATCTCCTCGTGCAGGCTGCCCTGCAAGAAAGCTGTGCTGAAGTCAAGAGAGTGGAGCTCGTAGTCACGCTGAGCGGCGACGTGTAGCAGAACCCGAAGAGTGGTCATCTTCGGGGTCGGGGAGAAGGTCTGGAAGAAGTCAACTCCCTCTCGCTGACTGAAGCCTCGTGCAACGTAACGCGCCTTGAAGACAGGCGGAGAGCCCGGCGGCCGCTTCACCCTGAAAATCCACATGCCACTGACGATGTTCGCCCCAGGTGGGGGAACCTCGTCGACGTAGGTGCCTGTGGACTTCCAGGAAGCCATCTCTGTGTCCATGGCTGACTGCCACTGAGAGGAGTAGGGACCGGCCATCGCCTCTGCGTAAGAGCGTGGGGTCGGGATGTCTGGTGCATCCGGGTCTCCCTCAGGGGCAACAAGCATGGACACGAGATGGGGCAAAGCAGCGGCAAGGCAACCAAACTCCTCCTGCCTGTCCTCAAGGACGTCCGTGCCAAGAGCACACTCACCCCCAACGGACGGAGGACAGGCAGACTCAGACTCAGCAACAAGACTCGCTGCGTAGTCTAGACGACACGCAGCTGCAAAGTCGACAAGCTCAGTGACTAGGGCAGACGCAGCAGCGGACTCAAAGGAAGGGTCAGTGACAACCGTAGCCAGGAGACGTGTGACAGTAGGACTGGCAGCGCGAAGGGAGTCTGACTCCGGGTCAGCAAGAGCAGGAAGAGAGGACGCAGGAGGCAACGGGAGAGCAACACGCTGCGGAGCAGTGGACTGACGAAGCGCCATCCGGTGCGTGCCTGGGACAGCAGGAGGACGCTCACGCGGGACACGACTACCAGTGGTAGCAGCTCGAACAGGTGACGCTCGACGAGACGCAGGTGACACAGGACGTGACGCAGGCTCACGTCTCTCAGCAAGACCGTCAGTCGGACCAGTGTAAGGAGCAGGCACAGGGAGTGGTGAGGCAGGCGGTAACTGTGGCTGTGACCGGACAGACGGCGGACACTCTAAGGCGAGAGGAGAACAAGGAGGAGGAGGCTGACCAAGAACCTGCTGAAGGAGCGGAACAAAGTACGGTCGTGGCCGTGCAGCAGCTCTCGAACCAGCAGAGACACCAGCGGCAGCAGCAGCACCTCCAGAGCAGCAGCACCTCCAGCACCAGGGTCCGCAGCACCTCCAGCAGCACCTCCAGCAGCACCGCCAGCAGCAGCAGTACCTCCAGCAGCCCCGCCAGTAGCAGCTGCACCTCCAGCACCAGGGTCCGTAGCACCCACAGCAGCTCCAACGCCCGGGTCCTCAGTACTAGCAGCACCTCCAGCAGCACCGCCAGCAGCAGCAGCACCTCCAGCAGCACCGCCAGCAGCAGCAGCACCTCCAGCACCAGGGGCCGTAGTACTCGCAGCAGCGTCAACTCCGGGGACCCCAGCACCAGCAGCTCCACTACGGAGACTGATGTGCCGAGCGTACCACTCTCGAAGCTGAGGGGAAGAGGGCGGCTCCCGCCGTGGTGGGAAAGCACGAGTACCAACTCCAGCAGTACCACGAGCCCGAGACTCACCCCGCCGGAGGCTGCAGTACCGTGAGTACCACTCACGCAGCTGCTGCGAAGAGGGAGGTCCTCCAGGCGCCTCACAGTCAACTGTAACACCACCAGGCTCAGCACCCCCAGGCTCAGCAACTCCAGGCGCAGTACCCCTAGACTCAGCAACGCCAGGCTCAGTACCCCCAAACCCAGCACCCCCAGGCTCAGCACCCCCAGGATCAGCACCCCCAGACTCAGCACCCCCAGGCTCCGCCCGCTCAGGCTCCGCACGCTCAGGCTCCGCACGCTCAGGCTCAGCACCTCCAGCAGGACGCGAGTCGACAGCTACCTCGGCAGGCTCAACCGGGTCTACCTGAGAGACACCTGAGGGAGCGGCACCCTGAGGGGGAAGGGGGTCTACCACTGCAGCACCTGGCGCGAGGAAGAGAGGCGGGGGAGGGAGCGGGGCAGTGCGGTAGGGGAAGAGGCGGTAGAAGGGCACGGACTCGTCAAAAGTGACGTCCTGAGAGGGGAAGACTCGGTGCGAGGCGGGGTGGTAAAACTGCCAGCCAGACGCATCCGGGACAAAGCCAAGAAAGACACAGGGAGCAGTGCGGGAGGAGAGCTTGTCCGCAGACGTGTCGCGAACAAAAGCTCGGGATCCCCAGACACGGAAGCGTGACGCATCGCCAACCTCCCCCGTCCACAGCAGTGTGGGCGAGGTCTCCGGAGCGGAGACACGGGGCCAGAGGTTGAGCTGATGCGCAGCGTACCGGACCGCAAACGGCCACAGAAAGTGGGGGGCAGCCGCGTGGACTAAGGAGGTACGAGCGACCTCCATGACCAAGCCAATGCGGCGCTCAGCAACCCCATTCTGCTGTGGAGAGGCCGGGAGCGTGAACGACTGGCGAATGCCATGCTCGGCACAGTAGGCTGCCAAGAGGTCGGAGGAGAACTCGCCACCTCTGTCAGAGTGCAAGCGCAGAACAGGAAACCCCGAGCGAAAACGCTCTCGCAGCTGAAGACGTGCTCTGCTGATCCAGGGGATCAGAACATCAGGGACTTCACCCTTGGTGCGCAAGGGGAAGACCGTGGTGTAGCGCGAGTAGTCGTCAACGACGATCAAGAAGTACCTCTCCTGGCCCTGACCACGGACGCGGGCTGGGCCCCACACGTCCATGTGGAGCGTCTGCAAAGGAGCAGTCGTCGGGGGGAACGAGGAGGAGTGAGGGGCAGCGCGCTGCCGCCCCTCGACACAGGGAAGACAAGGAGGAGCAAGGGAGGGTGGGAGGGGAGGGAGTACCCGAGGAAGACCAGAGACAAGGTACCGGGCGTGCATGCCCCGAAGGCGCTGCACTGATGGGTGACCAAGTCGGTGGTGCCAGAGGACAGTCTTGTGCGCTAGAGAGCGACACGAGCAGGGGGCAGAGAGCTGACCTGACGCAGACGCAGACGCAGACGCCGCTACCTGAGGGGACTCAGTGGCCAGTGTGTACAGGTCCGACCCCGGCTGCCGAGTGAAGGTAGCCAGGTGACGGCCCGTCCGAGCACACGTGCAGTGTGTCACACGCTCGTAGGCAGGGGTGAACTGGTGAACACCCCCATCCTGAAGCGCACAACCCGCCACCAAGTTCGTAGAGAACGAGGGGAGGTGGAGACCTGACAGTGTGCCCGACGGGACAGCAGGACAAGGAAGGAGGGTGGAGGAGGTCGCAATGACCGGACCCCCAGAGGGGTCAGCGAGCGAGACAGCGACTGGTCGAGCAAGGGGCTCAAGAGCAGTGCGGTCACGAAAGAAACAGCGCGAAGCGCCTGAGTCTAGAGTGAAGGTGTGCAGTGCCTCAGTGGACTCAGTAGCACCTGGGGTGGCGGACACACACGCACCTAGAGCAGTAGCCTCACCAGTACCTGGGGCAGCAGACACGCAAGCACCTAGGGCGGTAGCCTCACTCGTGCGGATGCCTGGGTCAGGCGGAACACTCAGGTACTGGTCCTCCTCTCCACTAATAGTCAATGCATACATTGCTTTGAGAATAACATCAAAATCAAGAGCATAGATATCGATATCCTTCTTGAGGAGATCAGCCCACTGAGGGAGCTCAGGAGCGTCAGGAAACTGAGCACGCCAAGCGTCATCTAGGCGAGAGAAGCAGCGCTGCGAAGTGTGCGCCCTCCCGCACGTCTGTCCCTTGCGGCGACCAGTGCGGATGACGTACGTGCAGCTAAGGCTACCCCCCCCACCCCCGTGCTGTAAGTACCACTCACGAAGCTCCTGGGAGGACTGAGGGTGCTGCGCGCTCTGGCCAGTGCCAGAGCCTCCACGACCACCACCGCCGCCTCCACCACGACCACCACCGCCCCTGCCGCCGCCACGTCCACTGCCGCCACCACCACCGCCCCCACCGCGGCCACCGCCGCCGCCGCTGCCTCCACCACCCCCACCGCTGCCACTAGCCCCTCCAGCCCCGCCACCGCCCCCGCCGCTGCCACCACCCCCACCACCACCTCCCCCGCCGTCACCCCCACCGCCCTTGCCTCCCCTGCCCTTGCCGCTGCGGCGCCCGCTGGGAGCGGACGCAGAGCCGACCTGCTCAGCACCAAGAAGGTCGACAGCAGCAGCAGAGGCGACAGAGGGGAGGAGGGGGGAGGGGGAACACCCCTCGAAGAAAGGGGTGCGGGGGTCGCCACGAGAGGCACCTACAGCTACAATACTCTTCTCAGCTGCAAGTAGTTCCTTCTCTAGGGCGGCAATGGTGAGCTCAGTGGGACAGCGAGCTAGGAAGTGGTCCCTGACTGTACGCAGAGTGTCAGGGAGGCGGGTGACTAGGTGGTAGAGAGTGAGCCAGAGCGGGGGAGGGTTGGAGGCAAGAAACTCAGCGGGCATGGCTGCACGGAAGCGGGCATCACTAGTACGGAGGTGAGTGATGAGGTCAGCGACTGTCTGGAAAGCGGACAGGTCGGGGAACAGGTAGGGAAGGGAGAGACGGCCTAGTGCAGCTGAGGCCGAGGAGGAGTAGCGCGCAACTACAGCAGTGTACAGGGCCTGCGCAGTCTGATGCTGGCCGAAGTGCTCACGCTCATCGACTGGCAGGGAGTTGCGAATGGCAAAGCGGGCGTGGGCATCGCGAGTCTGCCACTGCGAGCGAGCAGTAGCGGTAGCAGTAGTAGCAGGAGCAGGGACTGTGCCTAGTGCGTGATCGTACAGCGAGATATCCTCTCTGGCAGTGAGCTGGAGGAACAGGTGCAGATCATCGAGCCAGGTATCAAACTTAATCGGGCGGCCCTCAGAATCGAACGAGAGAACTGTAGGGCTAGCCATAGCTGAAGTAGCAGTAGCAGCAGTGGTAGTAGTAGCAGTAGCAGTAGCAGTAGTAGTAGCAGTAGCAGTGCTGTGCACAGGTAAGTAGGGCGCGGCTCGGCTAGGGCGGCGCGGCTCGGCTAGGGCGGCGCGACTCGGCTAGGGCGGCGCGACTCGGCTAGGGCGGCGCGGCTCGGCTGGGGCGGCGCGGCTCGGCTGGGTCGCGCGGTTCGGTTCGGGTCGCGCCGTGCGGCTCGGTCGTAGAGGGGCGAGCGCAGGAGGGCCGGTCGGGGCTAGCGCGGGGCCAAAGGGGGGGGCCGTGAGAGGCTAGCGCGGGGCCTGCAGGGGACGTGGGAGGCTAGCGTGGGGCCTTAAGGGGCCGTGAGAGGCTAGCGCGGGGCCGACAGGGGCTTAGGAGGCTAGCGCGGGGCCGACGGGGGCCTTAGGAGGCTAGCGCGGGGCCGATCGGGGGCCTTAGGAGGCTAGCGCGGGGCTAGCGTGGGGCCGACGGGGGCTTAGGAGGCTAGCGCGGGGCCGATCGGGGGCCTTAGGAGGCTAGCGCGGGGCTAGCGTGGGGCCGACGGGGGCCTTAGGAGGTTAGCGCGGGGCCGATCGGGGGCCGTGAGAGGCTAGCGCGGGGCCATACGGGGCCTTGAGAAAGAGGCGCTCGAGGCGCAGGAAAAAGAACGGCGGCGCACGAGGGCGCGGCTAGCGGAAACGGTGGGCCCTATCGTTTCGGTCCTAGGTGGAACCTAGGCTCGTAATACCATGTCAGAATGAGAAACGAGAATGAGGAGTGACTAGCAGGAACAACAGTACAAATATGTCAAACCCTAATCTGGTGTACCCCTTATGGTGTGACCCACTACAGCCTAGAACCACACAAACATATAAATGTTTGACATCCAAGCCGCTGATATCCACTTGAGCGTTAGCTCGGGTGGTGGCTTCTTGATGTTGCCTGCCATAAAATTTAAACAATCAAAAGTCAGCCACCGCTACAAACTGATAAAGCAGCACACGCATGGCCTGCCTCTCTCACCTTTCTTTGTCAAGGTGTCGACCCCCTCGCTCTCGAACCACTCCTGGTAGAGCTGTCGAACGGATGCCTTGAAGGAGCGATTCACCGCGACGTCCAGAGGTTGAATCTCCGAGGTGCAGCCAGCTGGGATAACGGCAGGGACGATGTTCAGCTCCCCGAACTTCTTCTTCACCTCCGCAGTCAGGTGCCCGCGGTACGAATCCAAGACGAGCATCGCTTTGCGGGGCCTCACTCCAAACTTGGTGTGGACGAACGGCTTCACTGCCCCGTCGAGCCACTCGATGACTCCGTCCGCGTCCATCCAACCGTTGGGATGGACGGACACCGTAACATCTGCACAGCCACAAACGCACATACAACATCAGTAGACATTGAAAAAAAAAAAACATGCAGCAGTGGGTGTTAATGCTCACCTGAAGGGAAATCCCCTTTAGGCAGGGTCTTCCGTTTGAAGAAGACCCACGGCTTCAGCTTCTCACCGCTGGCAGTGCAGGCGAGCATCACCGTAACTCGCTCCTTCTGATAGCCGCCGCTGCGGATAGGCACAGAGCGCAGACCCACCTCCTCGACTGTGCGTTCGGCAGGCATCTCGAGCCACAGTGGTGTCTGGTCCGCGTTTATTATCCACTGCGGGTCAATCTTGTATTGGCGGCGGGTGTGACGCACGAACTTCCAGAAATTCCTGACGTCAGTCTCGCAGTCTGGGAGTACGGGTGGGAGGGAAAGAGAGAAGACAGTATTAATGACGCGTTAAAATTCAACCGTGAAACATAAAGAGACAAACAACACAAAGCAGTACACATTAAACTGCAACCATTTCCCACAAACTCACTGGCAGCAAGCTTCTGGCCGACCCTGGTCTTCGCTCGGGTTGTCAGATTCCAACGGCGGCGAAACCGCTCAGTCCACCGCTGCGAGCCGGACCACTTTACCTGTGGGTGCAATTCTTTCATCACCTCATGCGACCACTTCTGTAGGCGAGCGATCGAGACCGCGAGACATTTTTTACGGTGGACAAGAAACCTCCTGTAGACTTCAGCTTCCATGTCGCGATACCACGAGCTCCTTCCGCGCCCATGAAGACGCTTGCGAGCAGCATGCGCGCCCTCCAGGTCAGCCTTCCGGGTCTTCCATTCTGCGAGTGACCTTCGGGAGATGCCGGTTTGGCGAGACATCTGCCGCACGCTCATGTGCCCGGACTCAAGCTTGAGAATCCACTGCAGTTTCTCCTGCGATGTGTAAGAGTGCCGCTTGTGACTTGAAGGCTTGTGCCTGGGGGAGGGAGGACGGGCATCGCGATTCTCGCGAGAAGGGTGGGGCCGTTTCTTATTGGGGGGGGGGAAGGTGGGAATAGGCAGGTGCTCTGGAAGACCGTCGGCAGCCCAAAACTCCACGTCATCCTCCGCACCAGTCACGGATTCGTCCAACGGGCAATCAGTCGGGGCTCCCCAGCGTGGCGACGGTGCGGAGGAAGACGATGCGCCACCGGCGCGGTCGGGCTCGGACAGGTACGCGTCAAACGCCGAGTAGCCAGGAGGGAGGAGAAGCTGCAGGACCCCCTGACGTGGAGCACCAAACACAGGCGGGTCAGGAGGGGATGGAGGAGCTGGAGGAACCGGAGGCGCCGGGGGAGCGGGAGGTGCAGGAGGAGTTGGAGGAGTGGGAGGAACGGGAGGAGCTACTGGTTGACACGGAGGGACGGGCGCAGGGCGCGACTGCCATTGAGAGTAGTCACAGGTGTCTCGGCGGGTGTTTTCTCTGGCAGCAGGATGGCGGCGGAACAAGAAATGCGTGCTTGGAAGGCCCGCCATGGCCACGGCAGGCCAAACGAACAAAGAAACTGAAGGCAAAAGTCGAGAATGAGGGTTGTATGAAGCCCTCGCCCGAGACCCCTTCATTTTCGCGGCCCGGCCTCCTCTGCGGGAAAACGGTGGCCCCAGTCAAGATTCCCCGCAGAGGAGCTGAGCTGGGCAGCTCCTTGCCTCGGTGGCGGGGAATTTTGCTGTTGATGGGCACACCGTGGCTGAACCACGACGTGCCCACGATCGCATGCAACCCTGATTGGGCCGCTGTGATGCGAGGTACGTGTGCACTGGCATGGGCCAGGTTCACGTTCGATGAACCTGGCCTGGCCAACAAGGCGTGGAAGGCGTGAAGCCACGCCTTGTTGGCCGTTTCACGCGCAATGCATGCACAGTTTCGAACGTTCTCGACCCAGGTGAATCCGCCTTTGAGAATGCTTCGATTTGGTATATTTAAAAACAAAATTCAATTTTGACAAATTATAAACGCCGCCGCTTATAAATTTACTATATTATAAGCCCATCCCCTCAAAAAAACATGTTATATTATAGCCCCCGATGGAGGTATATCCGGGGGGTGACGGTATTACTTCATTTGCATATATGCGTGGAAATTTAAGTAATACATTGCGTGACCCAAAATCATTTGAAACATGTATGTGCAACTGTGTCATTTGTGTTTGCTATCTCATCCATTATTATCCTTGTCTAGAAACATGCGTACCCAACCCAATAGCCACCGTTGTTTGACCGCGAAGCACTCTGTAGAGAGTTTGCTTGCGACTGGCTTGGCGACTACATGACGATCGTCCCGTCGTAACCGGTTGTGCGACAAGAGGGCGTCGTCGGTCGTCCGGCGGGTAACCTAGCTTATCGCGAGCGTTTCGTCGACAGCACCTCTCGCAAAAGTTGGTGTTGCATTTCGAGGTTGGCCTCTGCATTTTTGCCTGGACAAAGTCGATGAAGGCAATGGGGCGTTTTCGGAAAGACAAGGCCCCTTTTCGGAAAAAAAGCTTCCATCATCCCGCTACTCCACTCCCTCCTGCTTTCCCACCCTCACCACGGGTTGACAGCCATCCTTATCATCCTGTAGCCCTAGCCCACTAAGTAACCTCGCAAACCATGGCGGCTCTCGCTGGTCTGAGCAGCAGCATGGCGGCCGTGCAGACTACATCTTCAGCCAAAAGCAGCCTCTTCGGCGCTTCGCTAGCAGCCAAGCCCGTACGTGCTGCCGTCTCGCTCACCCTGTTCCAGTTCTGCGTTCTCCTGGCGGCTCGCTCCCCCTGCCTACGCTGCGTAGTTTCGTATCGCTTACCTAGAATCGAGCCTAGGGCGCGCATCTTTGCTCTTCTCCTATGTGCCTGCATTTCAGACGCAGGGTTTTAGGTCACGCATTGATCCTCGAAGCGCCGATTTGCAGGAGATCCATCTCCGCCTTTATGTTTCGTCGTCGCGTCTTGCAACCTAAACCACTCACGTTACCATACGTCGGACCCCCCCACCCCCTCTTCCTCGTGCTGGCATATCCCCTCCGTGCATGTCGTCCGCGTTCTCGTGGTCGTTGCAGATGACTGCCCAGCCTCATGCGGCGCCATCAGTCATTCGCATGGCTGTAAGTTTATCTCCTCCTTTTATCCTACTTCCCTCCATATCTCACCCCTGCGTACTCCTCGGTCCAAACGGCACATCCCTCGGGGCCTTTCTGGCTTCGTCCTGCTGTCGACTGCCTCCCCGGTCCCCCCTTTCATTCTTTCCCGTCCCGACGACGTTACGAACTCCTTTCTCCCACTGGTCCCTCCCTTGGTGCAATTTTCCTTGTTTGCGTTCGCTTCGCATGCTATCCCTCCCGTTCGCATGCTCTCCCTCCCGTTCGCATGCTATCCCTCCCGTTCGCATGCTATCCCTCCCGTTCGCATGCTATCCCTCCCGTTCGCATGTTATCCCTCCCGTTCACCTTCCTGTCGTCTCCCTCTCACCCCCCGTGCTCGTTCCGCTCTCTCCGGCGCGCGGAATGCGCGCAGATCAAGCGGTGGGAGCGCAAGGAGGTGAAGGACAACAGCCTGCCCGTGTGCCACAAGCTGCACGTGCACGTGGGAGACACCGTGCAGGTGCGTGCGAGTGGGCGACACCGTGCAGGTGCGTGCGAGTGGGCGACACCGTGCAGGTGCGTGCGAGTGGGCGACACCGTGCAGGTGCGACCGTACACTATGCTGCTTGCTCCTTGAGCAGCATCCTCCATGTCCGATGGATAATAGCCTGGCATCTATGTGTGTGTTGAGGGAAGGAGAAGGGTGGGTGGGAGGGTAGAATGGTGAGTGGTACGCATGTGTGTGTGTGTGTGTGTGTGTGTGTGTGTGTGTGTGTGTGTGTGTGTGTGCGTGCGTGTGTGCGTGCGTGCGTGTGTGTGTGTGTGTGTGTGTGTGTGTGCGTGCGTACGTGCGTGCGTGCGTGTGTGTGTGTGTGTGTGTGTGTGTGTGTGTGTGGTTTTTTCATCCATAATCCACGCGTGTGCACCCACCATCATGCTCATTGACCATCCCATGCAACCTGTCTAAGCTTGTGCTTCCGGACCCCCCCCCATAGCCCTATTCCCCACAACCCTCCCCACTCCCACACTCCCCCTCGCCCCCCCCCCCCACCCTCCCCTTCCTTCCCCCGAACGCCCCCTTTTCTCACCTGACTCGCTTTTTCAAGCCTAGCATTCCGCTGTACAGTCCATCATCCTCTCCACCACATTTACCCACCTCATCTTGCCCTTCCTCCCCTTCCTGCTCCCCCCGGCGTGGGGGGTGGCAGGTGATAGCGGGCAGGGACAAGGGCAAGGTGACAGAGGTGGTGCGCGTGATCAACCACAACTCGAGCGTGCTGTGCCGGGACATCAACATCAAGACCAAGCACGTCAAGGGCAAGGCAGAGGGCGAGGCCGGCCAAATCATCCAGGTGCGTGCTGCATTGCATGCAGTGGCAGCAAGCCAGTGATGGGACATTGGTGGGTGGGTGCAGCACAGTGACGGTGCGCATCACCATAGGTGTTGAGATTTCTTCACTTCTGTTGAAGAGGTTCAGAGTTAGAATTAGTGGCCTTAGTGCCGCTCACCCTGTGAGTTGTGACCTTCCTCTGGTCCTGCTCTGTTGCTCAACTCCCAGTACCTGCTCCCATGGTCACATAAATGCATGCTTGCCGGAATGCACGGTGTGGTGCAGATGGAGGCGCCGATTCACAGCTCCAACGTGATGCTGTACTCGAAGCAGCAGAAGGTGACGAGCCGAGTGGGCCACAAGGTGCTGGAGGACGGCAGCAAGGTGCGCTACCTGCTCAAGACAGGCGAGGTCCTTGACCAACCCAGCGAGTGGAAGCGCACAGCCAAGAAGGAAAAGAAGGACAAGCCCAAGGGTGACTCGTTGTAAAGCGGGGATGCAGGGGGGGTTATGATGCGCAAAGATGAGATACGGCAACAACAGACAGATGCAATGTAGTGCAACTCAACCACAGAATATATTTTGTTCCAGTGTGCTACTAAAATGCTTGTCATAGTGATAGACATTACAAGAAGATTCCTGCGTAACGAAACCCTGTTCGCAACTCTTCCTGTGTTTCAATCTAGTCTTGCGATTATTTTCACATGGCTAATCCATACAAAATGTGCTAAATTTTTTGTGTCCAATGGTGTTAAGGAAAAAAGGAAAGCTATGCAACAAAGAGTGATGTGAATTTGCATGAAGCACTAGCCCTTGCGCATGTTTCTGCCTGCCCGAAGCACTTCGTCTACCAATAGTAGCTGAGACGCGATGATGGGCCTGTAGAGAAGATCAACATTTTGCAGGAGAGCAAGGTGACCAAGTGAGCGCATGGTAGAATGGCTCAATCATCAACAATGGCTCACGTATGTTGGCCGGTACATGCATTAACTGACAGGGAAGTTGTGCAATAAAGTGGCCAAGACATAAACAGACATGACTGGGTGGGAGGGCATGGGTAGGCAAAAAAATACTAGAGGTACCCGAGTGGAAATCACATCACAGAACAATGCAGAACATGCCACAATGCGAAGGCGTGATATGTGATATTATTATGACGGATGTGAGGCGGGAAGCCATACGCAGAGTTGATGAGTTGCTGCTTGACGCTGTAGTTGTCGAACACGCCTTCGACATGCGGGTCCATGGGCTCCCCCGTGGTGACATTCAGCCCCACCACGTTGCCCTTGGCATGCTCCGACTGCTCCACGCCATGCCATGCCATGCCATAAAATCATGTGCCATGCCATGCCAAGAAACATCATCGCACACCATAGCATACGAAACCATCCCATGCCATGTCGAAACAGCGAATGTCACCCATGGGCAGGCAATGCAGAGGCTTGGCCGATTGAGGCGAGGAGTGCGAGCAGGGAAGTGGAGGGGGGCCAGCGAGACGAGGGCACAAAAGCCCCAACGCGTACAGATCATCACAGTCACCGGGAGAACGACTGGTCACATGAGGTGCACCGTGGGGCGAGTTGCTCGCAACACAGCTGCACGCTGACGCCATGCCAGCATGCTTCCATGCACATGTCATGTCACGTCATGTGGCAGGTGACATCAGCATGCATGTGCGCAGCTGACCTACAGCTGGATGATCACGTCCTGTGCGTCCAGCCCGGAGTTCTCAGCCAGCATCAGCGCATCATGCTCATCTCATCTCATGTCACCTGCACCTGCATGCCTGCATGCCCCACCTGCACCCGCATGCATGTGCGCCTCACCTGCAGCTGAATGATGACGTCCTGTGTGTCCAGCCCGGAGTTCTCCGCCAGCACCTTGGGCACCACCATCAGCGCCTCTGCGAATGCCTCCACTCCCAGCTGCGCCCTCTGTGTGGCTCATAGGGAGGGGGAGGAGGAGGGGGGAGGTGGGAGGAGGGATAACCAGTTAGGCCATGTCTTGGGCGCCACCAGCAGCGCCTCCGCATGTGCCTCCACGCCCAGGTGTGCCCTCTGTGATTCACAGCGGGGGAGGGGGAAGAGGACCACGTGACCTATGTGTTGACTCAACACTCACCAATGTGCAGCGCTCTGTCAAAAAATAGCAGAGGATTTCTCACACGCTGCCACTCTACCTGCCCTTGTTCCTGGCCAAAGAGCCACTTAATCCTGCAACACGTGCCCTTCACCCTTCCTTACCGTGCCCTGCACCCTCCACTGTGCCACTCAATCCCTCCCCCCTCCCCACCACGCTGCTCACCCGCTCTACCCACTCCCCCCTCCCCGCTGTAACACTAACCCTCCCCCCTCCTGTGCCACTCACCCCCTGCACGGCAGGTTCACAGTCTCCAACAGGTGCCTCCGCGCTGCCAGCTCAAACAGTCTCCCTGCCTCTCACCCTCCCCCCCAACTCAGTTGCCCCTTCCCCACCCCTCTCCCCCCCCCCCCCCACTCACCCCCTGCACGGCGGGCTTGACGGTCTCCAACAAGTGCCTCCGCGCTGCCAGCTCAAACGCCCCTCCGCCCTGCCCGTGCCACACGGTGGGTCGAGTAGGGGGGGGGGGAGGATGAGCAGCGGGATGCAGTTAGGCTTGGAAAGGGAAAGCAATGCTGGCACCTTACGCCAGCCAGTGCCAGTTCAGATGAGCTTCTGGCACCTTCCTCACATGACGCGACTTTGCTCTTCACGTGAGTGAGAAAGGCGTGAGTGAGGGGGAAGTGCGGCGGGGAGTGTGTGGAAGGAGACAGCTGGGAGGAGAGAGTGGAGCCACGATCCCACCACGAGCAGCACGAGGCACGATCCCACCACGATCCCACCACGATCCCACCATGATCCCACCACGAGCAGCACGAGGCACGACGCATGAAGAAGCGCGGCCCATGGCAGCACCCTCCAGCACCCTCCAGCACCCTCCAGCACCCTCCAGCACCTTCCAGGGCCCAGCGGCACCCAGAAGCCTCCAGCACCCGCCAGCGCCCTCCAGCACCCCCAGCGACCACCAGCAAACACCAGCACCCAGCGGCACCCCCCAACACCCACCAGCACGACGGCGCCATCCTCAATGGTGTTCTTGACGGACCTGAGCCCGTCCCTGACCGCATCCTTGATCTGCGCTATCGTGTGGTCGTTGGGCCCTGCCCTCCACAGGGGGAGAGCATGGTGCCAAGGGCAGAGCGGGGGAGGGGGAGAGTGGCGGAAAGGGAGAGGGAGAAAAGGGGAGCGTGGGGATAAGGGAGATGGGAGGAAGGGGAGAGTGGGGAAACGGGTGGGTGGTGCAGGTGTGAGAATTGAGACGATTGGGTCAGAGAGCTAAGGCTCTCATAACACGCATCGCCTCATGCAGGAGTGCGGGTGCTTGACTTGCTCAACGAAAGTGTCCTTTTCTTCACCCAGCACATGCTCATACACCAGCCCTGCTCATGCTCATACACCACCCTGCTCATGCTCATACACCAGCCCTGCTCATGCTCATACACCACCCTGCTGCTCATGCTCATACACCACCCTGCTCATGCTCATACACCACCCTGCTCATGCTCATACACCACCCTGCTCATGCTCATACACCACCCTGCTCATGCTCATACACCACCCTGCTCATGCTCATACACCACCCTGCTCATGCTCATACACCACCCTGCTCATGCTCATACACCACCCTGCTCATGCTCATACACCACCCTGCTCATGCTCATACACCACCCTGCTCATGCTCATACACCACCCTGCTCATGCTCATACACCACCCTGCTCATGCTCATACACCACCCTGCTCATGCTCATACACCACCCTGCTCATGCTCATACACACCCTGCTCATGCTCATACACCACCCTGCTCATGCTCATACACCACCCTGCTCATGCTCATACACCACCCTGCTCATGCTCATACACCACCCTGCTCATGCTCATACCCAACCCTGCTCATGCTCATACACCACCCTGCTCATGCTCATACACCACCCTGCTCATGCTCATACACCACCCTGCTCATGCTCATACACCACCCTGCTCATCCTCATACACCACCCTGCTCATGCTCAAGAGCACCCCTTTGGAAGAGAACCCTTTGCCCCGCCCCCCATCGCCCGCCCCCCTGTCCCCCACCCCTCTACCCACCTTTGAGGAGGACGGTGCACGAGTGCGGGTGCTTCACGTGCTCCCCAAACGTGTACTTCTCGCCGCCCCGCACATGCTCCTACACCCCCCTGCCCACCCAGCGTCACCCTCCCGCCCACCCCACCCATGCCGCGCCCTTTGCATCCCCTCCCCCCTTCCCAACTACCCACCTTTGATGAGAATGGTGCACGAGTGCGGGTGCTTGACTTGCTCAACGAAGGTGTACTTCTCCTCGCCCAGCACGTGCTCATACACCACCCCCGCCCACCCCAGGTCGCTCTCCTGCAGCTCCTCCACACTGTTCACCGCCTCGCCCCCACATGCCAGCACCAGGCGCTCCATGTTGCGCTTCTTGGCTCGGCGCAGGGCTACAATCTGACACGGGGATGGAGGCACCAAGGACGCATGCAAGCGGGTGGGTGAGTACCGCACTGGGGAGATGACATGCCCCCGCACCACATGGGGGAGATGACGTGGCATGAGATGGTACAGCACGTGACAGGACGGCACACCCAGGCATGGTGTGGTATGGGATGGCATGGCTTGGAGCAACACAGCATGGTATGGCATGGAATGGCATGCAGGGACGCACCCCTTCTCGGGCGAGCATGTCCAGCGAGATGGGGTCGATGCCCTTCTGGTGTGGCATGGCATGGTAGAATGTGGTATGGTGCTGTGTGATGTGGCATGGCAGAGCATGGTATGGCATGGCACGGCATGGTATGGCATGGCATGGTATGGCATGGCATGGCATGGCATGGCATGGCATGGCATGGCACAGCATGGTATGGCATGGCATGGCATGGCATGGCACGGCATGGCATGGCATGGCACGGCATGGTATGGCATAGGATGGAATGGCATGGGATGGTATGGCATGGCACGGCGTGGGATGGCATGGCACGGCATGGCATGGCATGGCACGGCATGGGATGGCATGGCACGCACCCCTTCTCGGGCGAGCATGTCGAGGGAGATGGGGTCGATGCCCTTTTGGTTCACCACCACGAAGCCCTTCTCGCCCTCGCCCTCGCCGCACACCTGCCGGTGACAACCCACACAGCACAGTAACATCCACATGTGGGTGCACGCACATGGGGCACGCTTAAGGGGCGCCTCAAAATAGCATTCAAATGGGGCGTGTGCACGAAGAGAGAGAGAGACAATGCGGCAGGGCCTCCATCCATATAGTACCTTCCAGAGTGTCCCGCACAGGAGGCAGGGCATCGGAGCCTCTCCTGGGGTGACACAAGATCGAGGCAAGGCAGCCTGCATGTGGTGCTCCTTCACTCTCCTCCTCTTCCCCACCCACCTTCCTCTTCAGAAAAAGAATCACGCATTCACCCCATGAGCCACCCACCTTGCGCTTGAGCTCGATGATCTTCCGCACGCGCTCCATAAACCTCCTCTCCCCCACCACCATCTCCTCATACTGCTCAACTCAGCCCATGCACGCACCTTCCCCCTCCCATCCTTCACTCTCCTCCGGACCTCCGCCCCTTCCCATGCACCCACACACCCACCTTGCGTTTGAGCGCGATGATCTTCCTCACGCGCTCGTCCACGAACTTCCTCTCCGCCACCACCATCTTCTCGCGCTGCTCCGCATCATGGTAGAAGAACCCCGAGTTCACCTCGCTGGGGGGAGGCAATGTCCAAGAGGGGCACACAGGATAGGAGTACTGGGGATGGGGCAACGCATGTGCTGGTGACATGGCACCTCCATCTTCTCACGCTGCTCCGCATCGTGGTGGAAGAACCCCGAGTTCACCTCGCTGGGGGGAGGGGGCCACATGGGGGAGAGGGGCACACAGGATAGGATAGGCATATTGCGCATGACGCAACACATGTGCCCAATGTGAGCTACCCTCCCCGGCACCACCATCCTGTGGCGCTGCTCCGCATCATGATGGAAGAACCCCGACTTCACCTCGCTGGGGGGGGCACATGGGACACGCACACACGATTACAACAGCAGCCCCTCTGCGCCCTGCCGTGGCACGAGAACCCCCAATTACCTCGCTGGGAGGGAGCACATGTGGGAGCGGGCGGAGCGCGTGTGGAGACAGATGTGCATGGTGCACCCAGCCCATGTGCACCCAGCCCATGTGCACCCAGCCCCTGTGCACCCAGCCCATGTGCACCCAGCCCCTGTGCACCCAGCCCCAGTGCAACCCAGCCCCTGTGCACCCAGCCCATGTGCACCCAGCCCCTGTGCACCCAGCCCCAGTGCACCCAGCCCCTGTGCACCAGCCCATGTGCACCCAGCCCCTGTGCACCCAGCCCCTGTGCACCCAGCCCCTGTGCACCCAGCCCCAGTGCACCCAGCCCCTGTGGTGCACGCCATGGTACAAGAGCCCGAGAGCACTGGGGTGGGAGGCAATGGCATACCTCTTCTCGTACTCCAGCGACACGTTGCACGTGAGGATGTAGCAGTTCTCCACTCGCTTCTTCATGTCGGGGTGCCGTCGCCCCATGGTCCAGCACCAGCCCCTCCACCTGCCGTGCCGCACGCACACATGTCATGTGAGTCAGCAACACACGGAGCTTGTATGAATGAATCAAAAATCGTCTCTTCATGTCGGCCACACACACTGCATGCATGGCGCCACATACCAGGCGTGAGTCACAAGGTGGGAGTCACAAGGCGTGAGTCACAAGGCGTGAGTCACAAGGCGTGAGTCACAAGGCGTGAGTCACAAGGCGTGAGTCACAAGGCGTGAGTCACAAGGCGTGAGTCACAAGGCGTGAGTCACAAGGCGTGAGTCAAGGGGAGTCACAAGGCGTGAGTCACAAGGGCGTGAGTCACAAGGCGTGAGTCACAAGGGCGTGAGTCACAAGGCGTGAGTCACAAGGCGTGAGTCACAAGGCGTGAGGTCCACAAGGCGTGAGTCACAAGGCGTGAGTCACAAGGCGTGAGTCACAAGGCGTGAGTCACAAGGCGTGAGTCACAAGGCGTGAGTCACAGTCCAGATTGTGCCTCATGTGCATCAAGTCACATGCACTTGCCACACTGCATGTGCATCACACGCTCATAGCATCATGTCCGCACAATGCTCATGCCAGGAGTGAGTAGCAGTTAAGGTTGTGCCTCATGTGCATGATGAATCATACGCCTTGCGTCATGTGTGCATGATGGCACATACATACCAGTCATGAGTCACGATCAAGCTTGTGCCCTCATGTGCATGATCTCCACTATCACACGCTCTGGTATCATGTGTGCACAACCAATGCATATTAGAATACCAGGCATGAGTCGCAGTCGAGCTTGTGGCACATGTGCATGATGCATTCATGGTGCCATGTATGGTGCTGTATGATACCACTACCAGCCTGGAGTCGCAGTCGAGCTTGTGGCAACATGTGCATGATCTCCACCATGGACCGCACGCTAGGTTCCATGGTCGATCAGTCAAGTGTGCGCACAACCCACGCATCCTCATGCCACATACCAGGCGCGCGCCGTCGAGCTTGTAGCACATGTGGCATGATGCTGTATGGTGCTGCATGGTGCTGCATGATGCTGTATGGTGCTGCATGGTGCTGCATGATGCTGTATGATGCTGCATGGTGCTGCATGGTGCTGCATGATGCTGTATGGTGCTGCATGGTGCTGCATGATGCTGCATGGTGCTGCATGGTGCTGCATGATGCTGTATGGTGCTGCATGGTGCTGCATGATGCTGCATGGTGCTGCATGGTGCTGCATGATGCTGTATGGTGCTGCATGGTGCTGCATGATGCTGCATGGTGCTGCATGGTGCTGCATGATGCTGTATGGTGCTGCATGGTGCTGCATGATGCTGCATGGTGCTGCATGATGCTGTATGGTGCTGCATGGTGCTTAGCATGAGTGCTGTATGGTGCTGCATGGTGCTGCATGATGCTGCATGGCTGCTGCATGGTGCTGCATGCTGCTGTATGGTGCTGTCTGATGCCACATACCAGCCGGGAGTCACAGTCCAGCTTGTGGCGCATGTGCATGATGCGTGCATGAACAGGTCGATGGGCACACTGCATGTGCATCACAACAGTCTTGCACTATGTGTGCAGTGGTGGCACTATGTGTGCATGGTGGCACTATGTGTGCATGTGGGCACTATGTGTGCATGGTGGCACTATGTGTGCATGGTGGCACTATGTGTGCATGGTGGCACTATGTGTGCATGGTGGCACTATGTGTGCATGGTGGCACTATGTGTGCATGGTGGCACATAACATACCAGCCGTGAGTCACAGTCCAGCTTGTGCCGCATGTGCATGATCTCCACCATGAACAGGTCGATGGGCTCTGCTGGCTTGCGGATGCACAGCACCTGGTGGCAGTGGAGGGAGGGCAAGGCGCAAGGACGGGGGTGTGGCGGAGCGGGAGGAAGGGAGAGGGGGGGGGGGGGGGGGATGGGAGGGAGAGGGGAGGGGAGGGAGAGGGGAGAGGAGGGAGAGGAGGGGAAGGGGGCGTTGTGACTGCAGAGAAGGCTGTTGAGCGGGCAGCCAATAAGTTTTGGGCGCCTAGACTTGATACTTTTGCAGGCTGACTTGCGTTACAGGGCATGAGGTTATAAAATGCGGACATCACATTTCAAACATGGGCTGTGGATAATTTGAGGACAATAGCGTGGGAAGATTCATTGGAATGTCAGGGTGGGGCGACTAGTTTGGGCATGGGCAGGGTGGCAGCAGCACTCACAGCGTTGACGACAATGTCGGTGAGCTGAATCCGCTAGCTTCTCATGCACCTGCCAATAACGAGGACGCATAAAGACAGAACACAATTAGTGAGGATGGGCACATGAGCACATGGCATGTGGGCTAAGGTAAGGTAAGGTAAGGTAAGGTAAGGTAAGGTAAGGTAAGGTAAGGTAAGGTAAGGTAGGGCAACGATGGCACACATGGATGGAGTGACCACATGGCGAACGCACCAATGCATGGGAACGCACAATGCGGCCACACACGAGAAGCAATTGTGCCCGTGAAGCAATTGTGCCCGTGAAGCAATTGTGCCCGTGAAGCAATTGTGCCCGTGAAGCAATTGTGCCCGTGAAGCAATTGTGCCCGTGAAGCAATTTGTGCCCGTGAAGCAATTGTGCCCGTGAAGCAATTGTGCCCGTGAAGCAATTGTGCCCGTGAAGCAATTGTGCCCGTGAAGCAATTGTGCCCGTGAAGCAAAGCAAACCTGATCTCTGCACAATGATGTGAGAGGCTAACTTGAGAGTTCCTATAAATACTTTCGCGGCATACGCAATCGCAACACCTCACTGCATCGTAGGACACCTTACTCCACCTCAGCACACCTTGGTGGTGCGCAGCGTAGTTCTGGCAACGAGCTTGAGAGTCTCCTTGTCAGGAGCATCCCTCTCCATGCTCACAGTTCGACTTCAGCTCCTCCAGGAACGCTGACCCGCATACCTTGCTTGCTGCACGCACAAAGAAGCACCACTCCACCACCACTGCGCCATACCTTGGTGCGCAGGGTGGTCCTGGCAACGAGCTTGAGAGTGTCCTTATCAGGCGCGTCCCCCTCCATGCTGACGGTCGTCTTGAATCCCTCCAGGAACGCCAGCGCCGCCTTCTTGCCTCGCTCAAACCCGTCACACAGCAGGCGGCGGGTGCATGCCTGCAGGGGGGTAGAGGGTGTGGGGACAAGGAGGGAGGGGAGGGATATATGGGGGGATGACGGGGTGGGGAGAGTGGGGGAAGTGGGGAAGGGGCGGGGTAGATGGGTGGAAGATGAAGGTTCACGACTCAAGGCTTGATGGGAGTAAGCGAGAGGGGAGAGGGGAGAGGGTGGTTGATGCTGCGACCGACACTGCTCAAATTACTGCTGCAAGTCCAATCGGGTGAACGAATTGAGCAGGCTATAATAGTGAATCCAACCAAACAATGAGAGACTGAAACGGTATGGCTGTACAATATCCTCCACGTCAACTTCATCCACCTTCGCTGCTGCTGCCACTGCCACTCCATCTATCTATCCGAGTTATAAGCACTCTCCCTTAAACCC